AAGTGGACAATTCTAGGCACCACACTTGGGAAACATTGGCCTGTCGTCCTTGCGATAGAGACGAGGCAGCCTAATTTGAGGATCTGAAGATGTTGGCTGTTGCCAAAGTAGATAGAGAAAACCATTGCCTCTGGAGAGTAGGTCAGCACCAAGAGGCTGTCAATTTAAAATTCATTGACGCAAGATCTCTGAGAGATGAGGCAAAATGTTTTCATTGCATTGTCAGTCCTCTACTTTGGAAGCTGATTCTGTAAATAGGGTTGGGGTGCTTAGTGTGAAGGACTGAGGGGGTAAGTCAAAACAGGATTTGGGACTAAACACAATTGCTGTTTCAAAGTGCAGCACTGACATCAAAGGCTGAAAGGTGGCCTCCGGTGCTAAGTTATGGTTGATTTCCCTGAGGCAACCATCTAATGTGACACCCCTACCTCTCATCGTAACTTCTTCAATAAGCAAGCACTGGTTCTGATCCAGTTTTATCTACTCCTGAGTCTTAGCTGAATCCCACTGTTTCACAACTTCCACTTGTGCACAATTTTGTGATTGCTTTTTGGAGATCAAAGGATACCATACCTAGTTGTATAACTCTCCTCTTTTTTTTTTGTCAAGGCATTAAACAGTGCAGAAAAGATTAGTGAATGGTTTTAGAGGTTGGGGATAGAGCAGACAATATGCAGTTGTTCTCTTTGGAGAAATTAAGAATCAAGTGGAAGATTTGAAATATGTTCAGAACGATGAGTAATTAGGAACGATCTGTACTTGTTGGTGGAAGGATTGAGGACCAAGAGGTTGCTGATTTTAAGGTGTGTGAAAGAAGTAATGTGAAGAAAACATTTTATGCAGTGAATGGTTAGGATCTGGCATGCACTGCCTGAGTGTGGTGGAAGTATGTCGATCTATGCCTTCGAAAGGAAAATTAGATAAATATCTGAACAAAAGTTATTATTTGCAGGACGACAGGGAAAAGGCAGAAGTGCGGGTCTAGGTTGGTCACACATGCAACATGTTTGAATGTACATGATGGACCAAATAGAGTGTCTCTGTGCAGTGGCCATTTGTTTTTCTAAAAGTCAATATAGCAGAGAATTTCTCCCTTGTCGTCAGGTTGTTACCTTACAAATAAACTTCCCCAATACAGGTATAAGCAGAAACTATTATCCAGATTTTGTTGGCTGCTTACTGCTTTTATTTCTCAAAGGGTTGCCCCAGAGTTAATGTGAACATAATAGTAGTGTACTCCATTGATTCAAATCATTTCAGTCTTCACTGGCTGTTGCACAAACTGGAGGCTGTATCTGAGTGAGATGAAGACAGTATCTTCGTTGGTCTTATCTTAATCATGCAATATGATTGCATCACTGCAATATTTTCTGGTGATCCAACTCCTGTACATTAGGAGTAACTGTAGATTGTGTACTTCCCTACCCGGAACACCTCCGGTGAAATGATCTGATTGTATCATGACCATGTAATTATTTTATGTATTTTGTGAAGTAAGTTATTGTCTTTTTAACATGATCATGAGACTTTACAGAGCAATTTTGTTTATTTGCTGGAGTAAAAAATTCTTGACAGGTTGCTGGGTATCTGAGCATCAGGATCACAAAGGTCTGTCCCTGTGCCTATGTCTCTAATCTTCAAGCAAGCCCGGCCTGAACTTATTCAAAAAAGTCTTTTATCCATTCTTATAAATACAAAGATTGAAAGTATTTTTAACTTATAACTCAACCAGTTTCACTAACTTAGAGCAGGGGTTTTGCAATAAGCTAACCTTTATCTTGTTTAGGACTGATGCTTTGCTGCCACTTATTTTTAAGTTGGAGTGCAACAAGTTAAAAATGATACAAATTTGCATGTTAAAGGACCACTCTGTGATATGGTCATTGACAGTAGGTTGAACTTGGGAAGTTAGTACACAGACATTGCATAGCTTAATGCTGACTCTGCTTCACTGGCGAATATTTCACATCTATAGTTAAATTCTAACAACATAAAATTGGTTGTTGTGCAATTTAAAAGCTGAGAATAATAACAGGGCCTAAAAGGCCAGCAAGTACTATATGATGTTTGTCTCTCATCTGACCTACCAATGTCAGACATCACAGTGAAGCATGAACCTTCTGGAGAAAATCCGAGGGATATCATTGCTCCCAATTTTCAAAGATATACAGGAGAGGGTCCTATCTGTGGAATTGTCAACAGGAAACCAAACTTGACTGGGTTAATTATTTCCACGGCATAAGCGAAGAGAATGGGGATGGCCTGCTCCTTTCTCCATTCCTTCAACACCCAGCCCAATGAGAGACCGTCTGTCTGGCTGTCAACTGACACATCATCTCTGGTGCCACTTTGACTGTTTACGGTTGGGTGGTCAGTCGTTTGGTAAATGACCACACCTTGCAACTCATTTATAAAAAAATAAAGGAGGCCTCTGTAGCTATGGTGCATGTGAGGACACTGCACGTTTCATAACTGGCTGCTGAGTTCTACCAGGGTTTTCCAGACTATCCAGTGCCAGTCCTGTGGCTACTGAATGACTAAAGCCTGTATGATGCCAAACTAAGACCACTGCCACTTCTGTCATTTTCATTTATTTGTCTGTTTTTTGGTTTGTATCTTTCCAATCTTATCATGCCAACAACAACTTTTTTAAACAGTGCCTGTAACATACTAAAATGTTTCACGGAACCATGTGAGACATTTGGTCACATGACCATGCACTTATTCAAAGAACTAGGTTTTAAGTAAGCCTTAAAGGAAAGTGAGCTACAGAGACAAAGGTGTCGGGAAGGCCTTCTAGAGCTTGAGCCTCGAATCTGCAATTTAGTCATCTCTTGAAGGAGAGAAAGAAACTTAAACCAACCCGGAGGAAAAAGAATAGCACTTTCCTTTCCAAACCCCAAAAGACAATCCAGCAAGATCTCACCAAGTAAGTAATTGCTGTTAGTGATTATAGCTGCCCTTCAGCTATTTCCTGTACCTTGATGTTCCTGGGCTTTCAGGAACTCACCCAGTTGTCATTTGTTTGGACTCCAGTGAGTACTTGCTTATCACAGGTTTCAGTTATCTGTTGTAGAAGTCGGTGATTCTCTGAGAAAGTCTTGCAATCTAATCCAAATTTGTTTCTGCATTTCCAAGTGATGCCTCCACCCTCAGTGTGTCATTCTCTACCCAACTTAAATGTCCTCTTCACTTCAGTAACATTTCAAAGTTCATCTACCAATGTTCCTTAATCAACTCCCTCCCTTCTGTGAAATCATGGCACAAATTAACAATACCTTCCCTGGTGTCTGCCCACATTGTCTGTCCCCCTGATTTTACAATGGAATCTGATTTTCAAGAATTGAATCTAGGAAATCAATTCTCTGGGATTCCTCCTGATGTGCTGAAAACAAAACACTTGCATTTATATAGTTCCTTTCACAACATTATTATTTTAGAGTTAACAGATTCCATCAGACTTGAGTAATAAAGTAATCAATATTGATATTATCTTGTGCATCCTTTCTAATTTGTGCACATACTATCTCACCTTGAATCCCTGACCTGAGCACATGGAGATGGTACAATTTGTGCTAACTGCTTGATCCAGCCACACCTAGGTTTAATTACTTCCTGCAGTCAGTAAGCTCCCCTAAGAACAACTATTTCCTTTTCAATGATTAAATCTCCACCCCTTTTCTGTCTTTGAAAGCAGATTTTAAAGAAGCTGTAGTAATGTCTACTGGCAGTGGGGCCCTTTTGGTGGAATTCCCAAAGACAGCACGACTTTTTTTTCATTGTGCATTTGGAAAAGACTCAACTAATTTCACTCTGAACCTCAAGCAAGTGGCCTCCGAATCCAGCTCAGATCTTAACGCTTTTTTTAAAAAGAAGTGTCACTGGCAAGACCAGCATTTGTTGAGCACCACCCCAATTGCTCTGTACTGAGAGCAGGTGATAGTCAGTTGCCTTTTCTAACCACTATGGTGAAGGTCACTTTGAGTTTGTAACCACCATGTAGCATCCTATGTCATTTCAGAGAGTAATCAAGAGTTGATCACGTGTCTGGTGTTAGGTACAGGTCAAAGTGGGTAAGAAGCCACGTCAATCCCTGAAACATGGGATTTTTTTCTACAAATCCAGTAGTTACATGGCTGGCATTTAAGATTCTAGCCTCCTTATTAACTGAATTTAAATTCGCTGGCAGGATTGATAAGGTTCAAACTCCTGTTGCTACGTCATTATTTCAGGTCTCTGGATCACTAGTTTAGTAACAGAATGGGTATGCTACCATTCCAGGGCCTGTGTGCAGTGCAAGGCGTAAGGCTTGTATCTTCCGATCGTGACCCCCAAATGTATGCCCACCTAAAAATTTGTGGTTGGCCAAGTCCTTTTTCACAAATGCAAGGAAATCTGGACAGGGATGCAAGAATAAATTTGAACTGCTGGCGGACCCTACAATGGCAGCTCAACATGGTATGGGTTTGGTGGAACAGTGGTGAGGGGCATGAGCAGGGACAGTGGTCACTGCAACAGTGAAGGATTAACCACCATCAGTACCCTGGATGGGAAGGTCAGTGAGGGAGTAAATGGGGTCACTGATGGGAAGGAGGTACTGACTAGTTCCTTCATGACATCACTTCCACCCTATTTCTACAAACTGTGTCAGCTTGTGCTTGAACCCCCAGCAAGCTCTTGGGAGAAATTCCTGAACTTTCCAGGGTTGGAGTGCCTGCCGTTTATTTTGTACTGGGTACCTTAATCTGTTACCTAGGATAAACTAGGAAAAAATGATTTGGCTCACATACATAACTCAATTGACATTATGCCATAGATGAGACTTTTTAATTTTTTTATTTAGCTTGCATGTGGTTAATTGTGGCTTAAGACCATCAATGAACTTTTTTTGGTAATGCATGTTTTCATTTTACTTGACTGTAATTAAGTGTAACAGCTGTTTCAGGACCTTTTTTATTTGAAATTCAAAAATTTACTCTGTCTATTCTGTCTCTTTGCAGCAATACGGATCTGCTCCTGTTGGATAGTCGGACGGTTTGGGCCTCGGAAGAAGGCTGGCAGGTTTTTGACATCACCACGACAAGCAATCTGTGGGTGATGAGCCCACTGCACAACCTTGGGCTCCAGCTTCACGTGCAGACCATTGATGGTGGGTAGACATGAGTAGTTCTGATACTTCGGAAGTTACGGGCAACTTCCACGTGTTGCCTGATTTCTTGTTTCAAATTTAAACATGACAATGAAATGTTCAATCGTTGCACAAAATAATGAATTTTCTTGTTAGTAGAGAACTTGAATATTACTGAAAAGCGAGGGATGTTGCTGACACTTTGCAACTTAAAAACTTCATGTCAAATTTAAGATGATCACAATAATTTATATCATTGAAGAAAATGGTACTGATTGAAAAATCTGTCTAGATCAACTGAAGTGTTGCCATGGAGAAAGCAGCAAGGCATTGTAGACTTCGCTATAATTCAAAAAGACCCTGTTGCTTTCTCCATGGAAACGTCTCAGTCAATCAAAGTCAACTTGTGAACCAATAAACAGTTCCTACTGGAGTATATGTTGTTGGGATTGCTTGAAGTGTGACATTCTTGCATTTGTCCTGACGAGTAAGATGAAAAATTTTGACATCGCGTCTCTCTTTTTAGCAATATTCAAATAATATTTATTGAAGTTGTTAGTTATTGTGTGAATGAAGTATCTTGCCCAGCTTTTCTTTACTACATCAATTGCGAAGTCTTCATGTGAATGCAAAGCTGGGAAACTTATTACTTTTGAATTAATTTGCATCAAATCTACCCATTTTGAGCCTCATCAAGCAATTTTCTACAGTGTTTTAATTCCCATTTATAAAGTACTTTGTGTTTTCGATTTGATTTCTTTTTGGCTGGTTGTGGGGCCATATTTGAAGACAAACACTTTAGCCTGTTAAAGTTGTTTAGCGAACAGTAAAATGTGCTCAAGTCTGTGCACAGGCAAGGAATTGGAAGGACGCATGTACCTTTTGAAGGAAGAAATGAATTGTCTTTCACTTTACGGCTTTCACTTTGTCTTTCTCCCACCCCCATCTGTATGCATAGTGCTGCAGAAGAAATATTTTCTTTTGATAGTATAGTGTTTTTAGCAAGTGCAGTTCTACTACTTTTAGTTTACTTTATAACTTTACACATTGCAAGTTTAATCAAGATAATTGCAAAAAACGAAGGATTGAAGTAATCTTCTGCTACCTGGTCCTGGATCAATTTTAAACATTTTCTAATGAACCTGTTCAGGGATGTTATTACACCTGGAGCAGATGGGACTTGAACCTGGGCCTCCTGGTTTAGTGGTGAGAACTCTACCACTGTGCCGCAAGCGCTCCCAGATCAGTTTTATGGTCCTGGCCCAGAGTAGGAAAGGGGCTAAATTAAGAAAGGAATCGGCTTTTATCTTTCACAATGGTCAATGCTAAAGTGGGGGTAGGGGAGGGGAGGGGATACAATTTCTGATTCTGATCAACTTGCAGTGGTTCAGGTAAAATGTTTCTGTTTGGTGAACTATATTAATTTGCCCAATTGTAGTGAACCAGAACCCATGCTCTCAACAATCCAGGTCTGGATTAAATAATTTAGAAATAATGATCTGACTATAGGCTATTGATTTGCTCATTTCTCTACTCCTTGCAGTTTTGTCCTTCACCTTTCAGCTACCTATAGGAGCCTTTCAATTTCAATGCGTCATGGCTTGACATTCAATGGTATTACCATCACTGAATCCCCCACTGTCAACATCCTGGGGGTTATCATTGACCAGAAATTCAACTGGACTCACCACATAATTGCAGTGGTTAGATGAGCAGGTCAGAGGCTAGGAAGAATGTGTTGAGTAACTCACCCCCTGACTTCCCAAAGCCTGTCCACCATCTACGAGGCACAAGTCAGGAGTGTGATGGAATACTCCCCAGTTGCCTGAATGAGAGCAGCCCCGACAACACTCAAAGCTTGACACCATCCAGGATAAAGCAGCCCACTTGATTGGCACTACATCCACAAGCATCCACTCCCTCCACCTCCGACGCTCAGTAGCAGCAGTGTGTACTATCTACAAGATGCACTGCAGAAATTCACCAAAGATCCTCAGACAGCACCTTCCAAACCCACGACCGCTTCCATCTAGAAGGACAAGGGCAGCAGATATACGGGATCAGCACTACCTTCAAGTTCCCCTCCAAGCCACTCACCATCCTGACTTGGAAATGCATCATCAATCCTTCACTGTCACTGGGTCAAAATCCTGGAATTCCCTCCCTAATGGCATTGTGGGTCAACCCACAGCAGGAGGACTATAGCGGCTGAAGAAGGCAGCTCACCACCACCTTCTCCAGGGCAGCTAGGGATGGGTTTATGCAGGCTAGCCAGCGATGCCCACGTCCCACAAATGAATGAATAAATAAATAAAACTTTACCTAGGCTGGGGGAGATGAGTGAACATGCAAGGATTGCCACCCACTGAAGTCTCAACTGACCATACCACCCTGTGAGCAACAATGCACAGACTACTATTTGTAATTGGAACTCTGAGTGTGTATGCTCAGTTGTGAACATGCCCCATTTTCTTCTTCTTAAAACAAAAACAGAAATTGCTGGAAAATCTTGGATCTGGCAGAGAAAAATCAGGAGTTAATGGTTCAGGTCCAGTGACCCTTCTTCAGAACTTCCTTCCTTGTTTCTTTCTTAGGTGTACTTAGAAGCAGTACATTCCTGAGGTAAGGAGACATTGACAGAAAACTTAACAGAATGCAAGACCTGATCCTAAAATTGTCATCTTTAAGGGGTTACCGATTCAGTTTCTAATCTCTCTGCTTAGTCGAGATCCATGGAATTAAAACATAACTTGTTTCCACCCAGCTGGTAGGAAGAGAAACCATTTTTTTTTTGCTCCAGGTAGCTGGTTACCAAAGCGTACTGTCCTTTGGTTCAATCCCTTAAAATATTTTGGAGTGTAAATGGTAACTGTATTTCAGGAATATGTTAGTAACCTGCCCACAGAAGACTGGCCCAAAGCAGCATACGTTCGGCAAAGGCCAGCATTAGCTTGTTCAGCCACTTTCTTCTTGACTGGGGTTTGTAGTTTCACTATGGAAATGTCTCCGATGACTCCCCTCTCCAGAAACCCTCTTCATGGGATCCAGGTTCCAATCTGTTTCGGAGTTGGTCTCCCTGCAAGGAAGAATGCTTACCGCGTGTCCACATGCAACTGCCAAATGTGTGGCCAGATTGAAACCTTGCAGCCAAGTTTCTCAGATGTATGGCACAAAGCTTTTCAAGTTGGCGAAAGCTATTGGCACAACAGTTCAATTCTTCTATCAGCATGACCAGTGCGAGTAAATATGTGTCTCTGAGTCTTCACCGATGGAATGGTGGTTAGGTTGTGACTCAGTGCCAGACCAAAGTGGTTTGGTACTTGCCATGGTTGAACTGACCTCTCCAACCTCACCCAAGATTATGAGCCACACCTTGTAAATAGATGAATAATGCTTGCCTTTACATACCCCAATTAGGGCCATTTTCAGGGCAAGGCTTCGCATAAATTTGATTACGAGCTGTGCGCTGCTTGTTGAGTTTGGGGAAAACCTCATGGATTGGGCTAGCTGGTCCCAAAAAATATGTTTGCTTGAAAAGAAAAGCAAAGGCAGAATTATTTCTCAAAGACCAACTGTCTGTTCCTCATAAGAGGACAAAAAAATGGTGGTTGTTTTTGGAGGTCAATCATCTCAGCAGGAGCTCCTCAAGGTAGTGTCCGAGGCCCAACCATCTTCAACTGCATCATCAATGACCTTTCCTCCATCATAAGGTCAGAAGTTGTGCAATCATCAGCGAACATGCCCATGTTCAGCAGCATTTGCGACTCCTCAGATACTGAAGCAGTTTGTGTTCAAATGCAACAAGATCTGGACAATATCCAGGCTTGGGCAGACAAGTGGCAAGTAACATTCGCGCCACACAAATGCCAGGCAATGACCATTTCCAATAAGAGACAATCTAACCATCGCAGCTTGACATTCAATGGTGTCACCATCACTGAATCCCCCACTTCCAACATCCTGAGGGTTACCATTGACCAGAAACAGTTGTTACAAGAGCAGGTCAGAGGCTAGGGATACTGTGGCAAGTAACTCACCTCCAGACTCCCTAGCGCCTGTCCATTATCTGCATGGCATGAATCAAGAGTATGATGGAATACTCCCCACTTGCCTGGATGGGTGCAACTCTGTCAACACTCAAGAAGCTTGATACCATTCAGGACAAAGCAGCCCACTTGATTGGCACCGCATCCACTCCCTCCACCCCAACACTCAGCCTCGGCAGTGGGAACAATCTAAAAGATGCCCTGCAGAAAGATCCTCAGACAGCACCTTCCAAAACCACTTCAAGTTCACCTCCAAGCCACTCACCATCGTGACTTGGAAATATATCGCCTTTCCTCCACTGTCACTGGATTAAAATCCTCGATTTCCCTCTGTAAGGACATTGTATGTTAGATCACCAATATCTGGAATTCTTTGTTGCCTTTTAGTGGCGTATGTTCTGCCCATTTTTACAGGGAAATTGTTGTAACTGGGATGGGACGCTCTGATTTTGTATTTAATTACCTGCTGGAAGTGTTAGTCCCCCCAATTAAACTATTGGCACCAGGCAATTGAAATGTGCTTCCTGGAATTTTTCACAGCAAATCTTCACTTTGTAGAACAAATTTATTTGATTTACAATGACTGTCTTGTCTAGGCATGTGCAGCAACAGTTGAAATGCAGTGGCTTTACATAAGTAACTATATTTTTTTTAAAAAAAAAGTTAATATGTATAATTAGTTTGTTTCGGCTGAAGAGAAATATTGGCCCGGCTACTAAGAGATTTCTCTGTTCTTGAAACAGTGTGGGGGATCTAATACTCATCTGAGTATTCCATAGGAGCTGTGTTTTTATTGCAACTGAAGAAGTTTTGCCTTTTAATACAACGCTCCCTCTGTCCTGGTACAGAGGTTCCATTCCCATCCTTCCAGCTAAGAGATACAAATGCTGCCAATTGACCTACACTGACACTGTCAATTGGGGTTAAAAGGGATGCTGGATCCTTTTCATTATAGCATAATCCTTTTTGGTGGTT